GATGAAAATTTATTAAGTTACATGGACGGGACCTTTAGAGATGCTATGATTTTTACATACATTTTCAAAATGGCTAGCATACAGCCACCACTATATCCTCCTTTCTCAACTCATCAACACAAAAGTACTGCATAGAAGCATTTAAGATGTTACTACCTTTATTACTGTAGCACAAAGGTTTTCCTGCCATGCTTAGAACATGAATCATTCTTACTCTGGATAAGTTTCCTTCTGAAACTACACAAGTAGGCTGTGTATATCATAATCACTTCACCTACCAAAATTAAAAACGCAATCAAAACATGTGTTCCTGCATACTGTCTTTGAACTGTACCAGATCGTGATGGTTTAATAAACTGTCAATTTTTCCCACTTTCTGATTCTGTCTTCCACCACTTTCTCTTCCATCTCTACATTCAATCACAACATCTGACCCAAAGCATGTCTCTACCAGATGAACTGGGCTGTGATTCTGTGAGAATGTAGACAGCATGTGAAAATTTGGAGTTAAGGCTGGGCTACCAAATTGGCATTCCAAGCCTCGCTGGCAGCTGATGAAATAACCACATCCTATTCTGTCACCAAACTGAAGTGAAGACTGGAGAATGCTGGCCAATACACATTCCAGGCTCAGCACTGAATTTTCCTTGTTTTATGAGTTTAGTCAGTTATGCTTAAAAATAGCCAACTGAATTCCTTTTTTCTTACATCTAGGCCAAATTAACAAAGACACTTCTTCCTATGGCCACGAATGTGCATGCAAGGGTATTTTCTACAATCAGGTTTGCTCTTTTGAGTTGTTTCAGTGTGATGTTTAAATAGCACAGCTCCAAAAGTGCAAACAAGAGAAGGTCCCTTGTTTTAATAATTGGGTGGGGCTTTGCTTTCTTGGTGAACAAAGAAGCCTGGGTATTTCTCTTTCGGAACTAGCCGAATACAACAAAATAACGTAAGCAACAGGATCAAAGGGAAGACAAGGAGATGCTGGGGATTGGCCATCATTTCTGTTAACATATCTTCCCAAGCCTAGGTTCTGTGCTGTAAGAAAGAGAAGCCCCCCACATACGGGGTGAGAAGTCCAAGGAAAAAGGACACTTCATGCCTGCTGGCAGTTTGCTTGACTCACTGGCCTCTGTGTGTCCCCTGAAATACAAGCAAGTCAGAATGCCCTGACCCTGGACAGATTTCTCATTACATACCTCAGTGTGATGGAGGGGTGGGTGTACATACAGGCACAACAGGGATGCTGGTTATGCAGTGGAGGGCAGAGCAGGAAAGAGCCTTCCTGGGATTCAGCTGTTATTTCCTGTATTTAGCTGTGTTTGAATTCAGACAAACACCTGTACCCACACACTATTCACCATGGTTCTCTATTCTGTTATCTATCATTCCTATTTGTCTTAATAAGATTGCCTCACTAACTTCAGGGGGACTGTCGGAGTGATCCCAAATCCCTTAGAACCTGTGAGCAGCAGTCGAAACACTCCTATTTCACCCTTCTGTAAAATATTACAGGAGGTGCATACATGGAGGGCCTAATAGAATTTAAGATTCTCATGAAGCCGGGCTCGGTGGCTCAGCCTGTAATCCCGCGCCTTTGGGAGGCTGAGGTGAGTGGACTGCCTGAACCCGCGGGTTCGAGACCCACCTGGGCAACTTGGCGAGACTTCATCTCTACAATAAATCAAAAATGAGCCGGGCATGGTAGCATGCACCTGTAATTCCAGCTACTTGGAAGGCTGAGGCGGAAGGATCGCCGGAGCACAGCGGGTGGAGGCTGCGGTGGCCGGGAGCGGCCACTGCACTCCAGTCTGGGCAATGGAGTGAGACGCTAACTCAAAAAAAAAAAAAAAGATTCTCAAGAAATTCTTCCACCAAATCAATGCCTTAGGGGTTCATGGGTAAAACCCATATCCCTGTTGCCAGAATGAACACAGTTCCCAAAAAGAGATCCAAAGAATAGCTGGTGTTTTAGTTAGCTCAGACACACCCTCCTTCCTTATTTGGGTCACAAGTTATCACTGAGGTATTTGTGCCACCCCTGCCTTTACTTATGGTGTCATTCCACCTAAGAATGCCTAAGGATTTTATTGTAACAGCATGTTAGATCATTGTGGGATCATCTTGAGGCTTGAATTCAGTGTGCATACGTGCCTGTGTCTCTACGTGAAGAGACAAACACCTGTACCCACACACTATTCACCATGGTTCTCTATTGTGTTATATATCATTCCTATTTGTCTTTGATTTTGTTGGTTTTGAGAACCTGTTTTCAACACCACCACCAGTGTGAAAGAGGTCTTCTGGCAAGGCTGTGCAACGAGCGAGTGAAACTGCTTCAGAGGGGATTCAGACATTCACCAAATGGCTAGATCTTTAAGGTTTCCTCAAACCTAGACAACTGACGATCCTATATCCTCATGTCACATGGTTTACTGTAATCTTGTCGGGGCTATATAGAATGTGTGTGAGGATTTTAGATAGTTCACATATGTAAAAGCAGTGGTTTGAGGAGCTTTTATAGAATGCAAATACCTAGGTCCATGACATTTAGTTTCAGTTAGTGTGGGATCAGGCCCCAACTAAAAAAAAATTCCAGAAATTCTGATGTGTAGCTAGGTTTGGGAACTACTGATCTAGTTAGTTAGTTCCTGATTCTTCTCATGATAAAAAAAACTAAAATTCTCAAGCCAGTTTCTTAAAGCCACCCAGGGTAGTGAATATTCATGATGCTTCTGAAGTGAACACACTGTATGCTATGTTTTCCCTTAAAGACAATATCAGCAATTTGGTCAAAATAATTATTTGCAATGAGGGATTACAGTAACTTTGAAGTTCTGACGCTTTATCTCTAAATGCCAGAAAGCTTCTCAGTAACTGTGATAACCTGTAACTTCCAAATGTTCTGTAGGTGTCTGAAAACCACTGCTTGACTGGATGTATCTGACTCCAAAGGAAACAGAAATTTAAGATCAATTTCAGCCCTCAAATATTTACTCGTCTTTGAGATGATGAACTGGAGACTTATCAAACCTAAAAAAAACATTGGATTTTTAAGGTGGTTTTTATCCCTAAGATGAAATTTTTTTAAGGAAACACTTTAATAATAATAATGGATAGAATTTATTGTATTTAATTTGCTTTATAATAAAGTTCTTCCTAGCCATTTGATTCTCTTAAATGAAAAGTCAGAGGTATCTGTGAGTGAATCACTCCTCACTCTAGGCCCCTCCTCCCCCTGTCAAAAAACAAACAAAAAAGCCAAGACTATGGAGAGTAAGAACAGTTATTTTAAATTGAACTTTTGGATCATTGTGGAGTTTTGGGGTTGTTTTGCTTTTTTTTTTTTTTCCAATTTATACTCAAAGGCAAATGGATGTAGCAGGAATGAGGTTATAAACAAATCATAGTCTGTTACAAGTTAAATTCCTGGGATTCAAAAGGCCATCACCAGTAGCAACTTTTGTGGCAGAGCAAAGCTTTTCCACATGTTATTCTTTTTTCTGAGGCAACGGATACTTTACCACATATTTTCACATCCAAAACCAACCTGTGAGTACTGACAAGCATGTGACAACCAGCCTGAGTCCTAACAAGTATGTGACTTCAACAACTGCTGGAATTTCTGGATCTTGAGTGTCACTGGGTAAACCACTGAAGAGACGGGCAGAATTGGGCCTTTGGGTACAAGGAGTCTGTCCAAGCACTTTAGGTATAAGGGGATCGGGGGATACACAGGTTCACCAAAGTAAGTTTATACTTCAAAACACCTCCCAAGGAAACCACGCCACTGGCCTTGGATTGTAATTTAATGAGAGTCTCAAGAATAATTTTTATTTTCCCTACGGAAAACAATTCACACACCATTTACAAGGGGAAATACCCCAAATCCCATAATTTATTTATAAAAATTGTGTATTTATTCTTACATGCTCAAACTTCAGCCACCTTCAAAGTACTCTCCATGTGAGGTAATTCACCTATTGAGATGCTTTTCCACTGCTCAAAAGTTTTTGAACTCATCGATTTTGATGCCTTTTAGTGTTTCTGCCATTTTTTGTTTCACCTCTTCCACACAGGCAAAACGTTTTGCCCTTTGAGGACTATTTTTTCATCCAAGGGAGAAAAAAAAGGTGCTCAGGGTGAGATCAGGTAAATAGGGAGGGAGGAGCACAGGGCATCATGCTGGTTTGGGTCAAAAATTGCTGAACACGCGGCACGGTGTGGGCAGGTGCACTTGTATAAATCACGCATCATGAGATAGCAAATATGTTGAAACAATCAAAAAAAAAAATCCACTGAAGTAGAATGCAGTCTTTCACAACAACGCTAGCTGGTGCGCTGATGGTTCCTAGAACACTTACTTAGCGGGGCAAGTCTATCGTAGAGGGGGCCCACCCTCCAAAAAATAATTTCAGGTTTTTTTTTTCATTCCCTCTTGTATATCACATATTTCCCACTTGGGAAGGAAGCTATTACAGAGAAAGGGACTCCGGGGCAACAAGTTCGATTAGCAGGACATGACTCCAAGTATATGAAGTAAAAACAGAAATGGCTGTTGGGTGGGAAGCCAGTCAAGTACAGGAGGATAGGGGGAAATTACTTTCTAATGAACTAAGACTCAATGCACTCTCATGCTTTCAAGTACATCTCTAGACAAAACACATAAAGATTTCAACACGTTACTTAATTTCCGTGAGAGTCACATTCCATTTATTTATCATATTTGTCACAGATATTTCCTGGATATCAAAATTATCTTGTCAGTCTGATGCAACCTAGCACAGATACTTCATAAATCGACATAATTTTTGGAAACATGACCAACTTGTGAATGTCCATCCTTTGAATTATCATAATAGTCAGCCACTGAGAAATGATAATGAGAGATATTCAACATGTCAATTATTTATCAAGAAGGGCACAAACCAAGATGTAAAAAAGGAAGCAAAAAATTAAAATAGCTTATTTTTTTAAAAAGTCATACTTAACTTCCTTACCTGAAATATTTTAGTGCCTGGGCTTCTTATTGAATTTGATGGTGGTAAGATGAGCTGTGTCTTCTTAAAGGAATAAGTAGTCTTCAGTGTTTTTATAGCATTGGTTACTACAGAAATTATACTTCTTTTACTTCTTGTCTTGAGGGGTGAACAAAATAAACAAACTGAAAATACTACAATGAATGGTAAATGATGAAAGATTTACAGTACAAAAAACAATGTAAAAAGGAAGACAAGTTTAAATATTGTTGTGTAAGAAAGTGATGAAAATAATACAAGAATGAGAATAAGTAAAATGATAGGCTGGAACATCTGGGAAGGCAAATGCAAAGACAAAGAGAAAAGTTAATTAATAATAATTTTCAAAATTTAAATCCACTTCAAGTGTCTAAGTATTTATTCCACTTAAGGCAAAGAAAACCCACCCCTCCCCCCACCACCCTGCTAAGCCTATAACAACAAAATCTGAAAGTCTACTATTATACACAACGCTTTCTCTCACTCTGATTTTTATTACTTTTCCTGAGGGTGTAATTGAAAAATCCCATGCTCACAGTATTCAAACATCTGCAACAAGGACACTGAAAACCAATTATTCGATATAATAAATAGAAAAAATAAAGCTCTAACATATCAAACTTCAGTAAGTTTGATCATAAAACTTTTTTTTCCATAGCAAAGCAGAGCAACATGCAAGATAAATAAGCAATAGAGTTACAGTTTTTCTAGTTGTACTATCAGGCAGCTCATCTAATATCATGCTTCTGTCCCTAAACAGAGTTTTAATATGAATCTCTTGCGTGTCTTAAAAGCCATGCATGCCTTCGTACTTCGTGGGTTCTCCAATGGATACAGGACACCAGGCTTGCCAGAGGGAACAGCACTGCCTGTTTTGTTTCATAAATTATCTTTCCTGTGGTTGGCTCTGACAAAATGCATTGGTCTTTAAGTGGCCACCATACCTGGCCAAGGCAGCTCACTCCAATTCATCCGGTGTGCCTCTACAAATCAGGATGGAGGGAAAATGCTGGTTTTCCCTGTTCTGGAATAATTATGACTATTTCTCTGAATTAGTGTGGTCTTCAAGCTACAGTCTAACACTCCTTCCCCAGTCCTGAGATTCTCCACTTTAGAAATGACACTAATGCCGGGCTCGGTGGCTCAGCCTGTAATCCCACGCTTTGGGAGGCTGAGGTGAGTGGATTGCCTGAGCCCGTGGGTTTGAGACCCGCCTGGGCAACTTGGCGAGACCTCATCTCTACAACAAATCACAAAATCAGCCGGGCGTGGTAGCGCGCGCCTGTAGTTCCAGCTACTCGGAAGGCGGAGGCGGAAGGATCGCTGGGGCCCAGCAGGTCGAGGCTGCGGTGGCCGGGAGCGGCCACTGCCCTCCAGTCTGGGCGACAGAGTCCAACTCAAAAAAAAAAAAAAAAAGAAATGACACTGATTTTCTCTGGAATTGATGATCATGTTACTTCAACTGGGGGTAAAGAGGCGGGCTTTCATTTGTTCTTTTCTGTGGGGCTCTAGACACAAGAACGTCCCTCTTTACCACTGGTTTCTACATTTACCGGTACTGATCCACCAATCCTGTTTATCTGGCAAATTTAAACAATTCTAAACTCAATTTGGATCTTGGCCGGATAACGACACACCAGCATTTGAAGATTTCTCTCCAGGGCTTTCTTGCTGTTTGGCCTGTCAGTAGAGCGACAGCAGAAAATGTTGACCTTCTAAAATACGTCTTAAAAATCCTTTCAGCCAGGCGCCGTGGCTCATGCCCGCAATCCCAGCTCTTGGGGCGGCCAAGGCGGGAGGATCGCTTGAGCCCCCAACGTTGGAGACCAGCCTGGGCGGCGGAGCGAGACCTAAATAATGAGGATGGTGACAATGAGCCGGGCGTGGGGCCTCGTCCAGCCACTCAGGAGGCTGGGGCAGAGGGGCCTGCCAACGCCCTCCAGCACGGGCGACCGAGACCCCGACTCTAGATGCGCAAACACCGAAAACCCTTTCACGCGGGCGCGAAGCCCGGGGGCGACGGCGTGGGGTCTCCGTTCCGGAC